GTAAAATTCAGTTCACTGAGGGTATGGTTCTGACGGAGTTGCTGAGGCTACAGGAATCCAAATCACCAGGTCCCGATGAGATTCCGGCGACGATTTTGAAACAACTCGCCGGTGAGTTGTCTAAGCCACTCTCTATGCTCTTCAATATATCCTTCGAGACCGGATATCTGCCACCCGACAGGAAGACAGCGTGTATTACGCCGTTTAAAAGGGCGGAAGTCGGGTCTCTGTGAATAGTTAGAGAACTTTCAGTCTCACCTCCATTTGCTGTAAGATTATGGAGACTATAATTAAGCAACAATGAATGCAGTTCCTTGAACAAAAAACGTTTGCTTTCCGATTTCCAGCGTGGATTCCGCAAAAACAGATCCTGTGTGACAAATCTGCTCTACTGTCTGTAACACTGGGCTAGGGCTGTTGATAGAGGAGATCTATATCGACTTTAAAAAGGCCTTCGATTGTGTGCCTCACCACCGCCTTCTATACAAACTTAGCCGGTCAGGAGTGCGAGCTAAGCTTCTGTTGTGGATTCTGAGCTTTTTAATCGGCCGCTCTCAAGCCGCCCAGTTCAGTGTCCAGCAACCTGCCGATGTTGCCGTTAGGAGTGGTGTTCCCCAAGGCTCTGTTCTGGGCCCTACACTGTTACTCGTATACGTCAATGACTGCGCAAACGAACGGAATTGCGATGTCGCAATGTTTGCCGATGACATAAAGATCTGGAGTACCATACGAAGCGAAGTTGACGAGGCGCGACTGCAGACAAACCTGGACCACCTCGAGCAATGGTCGAAAGACTGGCTTCAACCGTTCAACGTAAACAAGTGCAATTTCCTGCGCGTCGGCAGAACCAGTTCTCCTAACCACACAGTCTACCGTCTGACTGACAAAGCACTGCAAGAAGTCGACGCCCAGAAGGACTTGGGTGTATGGATCGCAACCTCGCTGAAGCCTTGGCTGCAATGTTCAAAGGTGGCCATGTCGGCGATATCCATTCTATACCTCGTCAAACGGGCGTTCTCCTCCTTTGATGAAGACTGCTTCGCCAAGGTCTTTCAAACCTTCGTGCGACCGCATATGGAGTTTGCTATCCAAGCATGGAGACCCTGGACCGCTAAAGACTTTGGCATACTTGAAAAAGTTCAACGGCGAGCAACGAAACTTGTATCTGGGCAGTGGTCACCTCCCTACTAATCACGATTAGCTAATCTTTCCCTCTTTCCTCTGAGTTACAGACAGCTATGTGGGGATCTGATACAAGCTTTCCGCATCGTGCGCAATCAGGGCTGCTGCCTCGCATCAGGAGACTTCTTCGAGTTGGCGACTACGACAAACCTGAGAGGCCATCCACTCAAACTGCGTGTGACTGGTGCCCTGCTAGACACACGAAAGTTCTTCTTCTCCAACAGAGTGGCTGCAGCTTGGGATGCCTTGCCTGAGGATGTTGTTATGTCGGCATCCGTCGATACTTTTAAACGGAGGCTAGATCACCATTGGAGCGCAAACCACAATAACGACGGTCTACAGCCACCTTGATAGCCAACATTTACCATTTAGTGTTATGTCGATGCTACTACCAACAATTAAGTAACGTATATTTATGTAATTTACTGATTTGAGTCACGTCGCACACCGCTACTCGCATTCACCACGATGCCTGTAGACTAAAAATGTTTACTTCTTTTCCCGTATTTAAGTGTGCTTCAACTGTCCGCTGTATTTTGTCAACAAAGCAAGTTAATGTGCCCCCAAACTCTGCTAACACATGACATTCTGTGTACATCTCTACAGTTTTTTGCTTTACCCATCGCATTTCTTTCCTGTTACTTCCTTTCCATTTCCTCCATATATATCCTCTGCATGTACCCAATAGGGATTTTAAAGGTGCACACCTACTTTCCCTGAAATATACTGATACTGATACTGGCTCTCTGGTCTGCGTCTACTCGGTGGTCTCTGACTACCACGTGAGCGCGCGAGGATCGACCTATTGATGTTCTTTATTTGACTCTTTCCTAACCTGGCCTGCTGGGAGGTGTACTTTTGGATAAACGCCGGCTCGTGCCACCAGCATATTCTGTAACCACCCCAGGTGGAACAGGTGAAGAAGTAAATGCACATAGATGTGGTCTGAGTTGGCAGTTTGTCCTTGCCCTCTCCCTGAATAGGAGGATGGACTTCTGGGTGTCAGCTGCTGGCAAGGTCTGTGCTAATACAGCTTGAGTTAGGCGTCTTTTTAATGTTCGCTTGCTTGGTGCATCCCCTTGATATGGGAGCCTGATGAAGAGCATTTTCTTTCCTACCGTCAGTATCGGGTGCTTTTGTGGTCTTTCGGTCATGTTCTTCGCAGCAATGAATCCATCAGGATACCCGTTCTGGCACTAGAAAGGGCCTTCCATGATCTTAAGCTATTTCTCAACAACACTATCAACTTAGCAGATTCTTCTCACTCTTTCTGTCATACACAGTGGACTAAATTGCGTTTAGAGTTTAGCGCCACGAAACTTCAATAATAGGTGTTTTTTCAGCACAAGGTTTTCTTACGATAGACGCTAAGTCCAATGCTGCCGTCAGTTAGGTCTTCTACTCAGAAGCATATCCATACAGGCAATTGCGGCGGACTGTTCTTCCTGTTCCTCCAGAGTGCATTTTATTGATGGATGCGCCTGATTTATATCATCCAATAGACGACTTGAGGTGATGTCAATTTGTTTCGGTTCAATTGCCAATATATTATCCACGTACCACCGCCCATAGTACCTTAAACCGTTGATCTGGTGACGTAGTTGGAAAGCTTTTAACTTTGCCATGAATATATTCGCCAGGCTACCAGGTTATCCGGTGTCGGAGTTGATATAAAATCGCTCATGCTCTCGAAACTCATATTCATGTATACCAACGCGCAATGTGTACTTTCTAAACTGGATGAACTTCGTATCCATACCCACGACATCCACCCAGACGTTATCTCAATAAGAGAAACATGGCTGTCCGAACAATTTGATGATAGAGAGCTCATGCTCCCTGGATTTCAACTGTTCCGCTGGGACAGAGGAATCCGGAGGCGTGGAGGCATAGTAACATTTGTTATGAATGGCTTATGCGTTTCATAATAAACTGCCCAATTGACTTGTAGTACGGAAGCATTGTGGCTGACCATAAGGGCACCGAGCTCTCAAAGCCTCGATATCTTGACAGTATATCGCCCCCAGGGAAATGACCCTGACGCTGATGCCCAACTGCTGGAGGAGTTTGGGCTATTTTCAACGCGACCGACTACTCTCCTCGTTGGAGATTTTAATGCACTTCACATAAACTGGAGCTCGGCGTCAGCCGACCGCTCTGAAGCAGCATTCAACCAGCAGTTACTGCGTATCTCCGACAATCTCCTTCTCACCCAAC